CGGCTCCCGCCCCCGCCGCCCGCCCGCCACTGTTTCTTCTTCCCAGATGCGGAGGCTGCTGCGCTGTTCCGAGCAGGGTGAGCACTAGGCAGGGGGACCCCCTGGTAGTGGCTGCACCCCAGGCGCCCTGGGTCTGGGGCCTCTGGGACCAGAACCCTTTGGGGGTCAGGTTTCTGGGAGTTTTACCCTTCCTCCTTTATAGAGAAGTCGGGAAGTTGGAGACATCTTGCTCTGGCGGGAGGCCAGACTTAGAGGCCAACCGCCGGACACGAGATTTAAGAGGCATTACAAAAATTCTGGTTGTACTGGTCTTATCCCCTTAATGGACTTTAGATCTTTCACAGCTTTTCTGAGAAATGCTAACAGGAAAGAGGCACAGCTCGGCCTAAGGGTCAGTTAACTCTTCCAGCGTCCATTGTTCCAGTGAAGAGGTCAGCCTATTGCGATAGAGGGGGAGAGAGCTTTCTCGCCCATCATTCATGAGAGAGATGATGAAGTATAGGGCTTCAGACCAGGGCCAGCTGCATCAGACCTCTTGGTTCAAATACTGCAGGGTTCAAATACACAGAATGTGGAGTCTTAGGCTGGTTACAGAATCCCCAAGCTTACTTAGCTCTGCGCTTAAGTTTCTTCCCTCTGTGAAAACAGCCTAATTAACTGTCCATTCCCTAAGGTCATTGTGACGCTTAAACGAATTCATACCTGGCAAACTCTTAAAACTGTACCTAGCATATTGTAAGTGCTCAGTAAATGTGAGCTGTGTCATGGTGGACTTCTCTGGTGCTGGGTCCCTCCCCACAGCATGCAGATAGCCCACCCTCAAAGATGGGATGGAGGTGCTGGGGAACACTTCTTGGCCTTTGGGGAGAAAAGGAGAGAGATGTAGAGAAGAGAGAAGTGGAAGAGAAACAAATTTAAAAAGGGAGAGAGGGGAAGACAAGAGTCAGGTGGGGGAAAATTTAAAGTTAAAACAAAACGATGAAACCAAAAGCGTGTGGATCTATAAGAATTCTTCGAGGAGCCTGTCACGCTGCATTAGGAGCTCGGGACCTGGCTAAGTGTGCCAGGAGTTTGAGAAAGAAATTTGGGGTGTTTCATAGCCATGTTGGTTTTTTGTTTAGATTCTAGAGAAAGGAGCAAACCCTTTGGGTCCCTGGTAGCATCTTTGAGGGAGGGTGGCATCCCCCAAAAGGTTTTCACGCACCGGAGGAGGAGAGCAGAGAAGTTTTGTAGGAGCATCGGCCGTTCTGTCCAGAGGCAGCATCTGCCAGCCTCTCCTAACTTGGACCTCTCAGACTCAGTACCTGGACCCATGGCTCAGGGCATCATCCAGCTCTGAGTCATCTGAAAATAAGAGCGGTCATCCTGCTGACCTCACAGGGACAACTGCCTGCAACGCCCTCTTGATTTGTGGGATTATACAGCTGGTGGCTTTTGCCTTCTGATTTGACTCAGTTTGCTGTGGACAGGGAATGTCTTGTTTTGTTCTTTGCTGATGGCAGCACCCAGCCTGTTACCTGGTAGATGCTCAATAAAGATTTCCTGAATGAATTAGTAAAGAAGTGTTATTTATTGCAAGGATCAAATAGTACAATGTGCGGGAAAGCACTTTGAAAAATAGAGACTGCTATAGTAATATAAGACTATGCTATCCTGGTAGAGTCTGAAGAGAGAGTCACATGGGGCAAGCGGCCCAGGTCAACCACTCATCTGCTTTGCAGCCGGGAGCCAAAGTCAGCTCTCAGCTTCAGCCCTGGGTTCTTGGCAGTTCCCCTAGATGACTCCACAGTGAGATGGAAATTCCCTATTAAATGACTCTGTGGCGATACACGAATAAATCATCACGGTGTCTGTGTAAAAAGACGTCCACCAGACACGCCTTTTCCCAGATATCTGATGGGCTTTTTCTCGCCCACTTCCTTTCAGTTACAACGTATGTCTTACGAGGTAGCAGAGACGGCCTCCTCCTCCCTCCCTTTTTTCCTGGAGTGGTGACATCCCATGAAAGCCGCACTCTGATGCCCCAGACCGTTTTCAGGAGCCCAGATCCTGGGCTATGTGTCAGGGACGTGAGTGCGACCATTCCTCCTTGTCACCCTGTGCCCCAACCTATGCTGCTGGAGGACAACTGGTAATAGTCATAACTGGGGGGCGCCTGCACAGTGGGTCCCCCAGGGAGCCCTGACATTGATTGAATGCTCATCTTCCCCCCACCCCCACCCTACCATGTTTTCAGAGCAGCAGCGAAGCACTCAGGAATAATGGTTAAGGAAATCGATCTCATCCTGCCCCGTGCCTTCTTGGCACATCGGAGTGGAAAGATCCTAATGGGTTCTGATGCCATCTGGGTGATCGTGCAGAAAAGCGAAGGGCCGCCTTGCTTGTCAACGGTGCGTTCGAAGCTGCCGGGCACGTGCTGTTTCGCTTAGGGCTCTTGGGGCTTGGGCAACTGGCCCAACTTTCCTTATGTAACGAGGTAATATGGGGATGTACAGACTAAAGCAGAAAGAGGGAGCCAGAAAGAGAAAAGCAGCCCGTCTCCCTGGCTCTCCCCCTCCCTCCCCTCTCTGCTCTGTTCTCCCTCGGGGCATGGGCTTCCTCAGCCCCGTCCTGGAGGCAACCTTAACAGCTGTCCGCGTGTCTGTGGCCCCAACCCCTCTGCATCGCAGCGATCCTTCCGGCTTTGCTTCCCGCCATTCATCCACTGCGGGTTTCAGTTCGTCTGGGAGAGGACTCTGGAGGGCAGGCCTCCCTGAGTCATGGGCTGACAACCCAGCTGTGATGGGCTGCCCGGGCAACATGTGCCACCCCGAGTGCAAACCCGTGGAAGGAAAGCCGTACAGGAGATTTTGCATTGCAGAGAATGTAGGACACGTAACCACTAAGCCCCCTTCCAGCGATGAGAATCCTGGGGGCATCTGAGTCAGCAGAACCATTAAGGAGAACCATACACTCTCCAGTACTCGCTGTATTAGAACCGACAGCCGTTCTAGCCAACTGATCAGCCTTGGTCAATCATGACTACCCTAATCTCCTGGCCAGAATTTGGCTCAGGAATGAGTAGATTTGATCCCCATTTGGATCAACAAGATAAAGAGAGAAATATACTTGGGTCTTTTGGAAGGAAGATCTTAAGAGTAAGCCCTGGGGAGCTTCTCTTAATTTCCAGCTGCACATGACCCAGAAAGTCATTTACTTATTTTTCCACCCTCCCACCTTACCCGACTTTGACACAGATCAGCTTGTTTTCTGTGGATCTGTTTTCTGTTTTGTTTGGGTTTGTTTATGCTTTTGTCTTGTTTTGTTTTAGATTCTATATATAAGTGAAATCATATGCTATTTGTCTTTCTCTGACTTATTTCACGTAGCTAATACTCTCCCAGTCCATCTATGTTGCTACAAATGGCAAGATTTATTCTTCTCTATCGTTGATATTATGCCATTGTATACATACCCCGCCTCTTCTCTATCCATTCGTCCATCAGTGGACACCTAGGTTGCTGCCATATCTTGGCTGTTACCAGTAATGCTTCAGTGAACACAGGGGTGCGTATATCTTTTCAATTTAGTGTTTTTGTTTTCTTCGGCTAAATACCCAGAAGTGGGACTGACTAAGCTCAAAGACCCTGGTTAAAATCACGTTGCCATGTCCTTGAAATCAACGTAGCAGCACCTATTGTTCTGGGCTGCAAGACCCATAAAAGACCATGGCTCCCAAACATCCTCGTCACAAGGGCCCGTCTTCCTAGATGTGTTAGCTTACCAGCGCTGCGGTACGGTAGCAGATTGCCACAAACTGGGAGGCCAAAACCAGCAAAAATGAGGAACGTGAGAAAATATAGGAGACAAAGCCACAAAATAATATTTAAATAGTGTTCTGCCATGCCTCTCATACCTGTGTTCCGTACCCATCATCAGCCTTTCTGGAAAACACAGGTGCGCGCACGCGCACACACGCACGCACACACGCACACACACACACACTCTGTGGAGGCAGCAGCCACCGTCGATGGCAAGACCAGCACGAGAACGATGGGGTTAAAAGACAGCAAAACCTTTGCTCCTGAAAGCATCGCTGAGCGGTAGAGTCCAGGGCAGCAGCATCTTAGCTGGGTCTCTTGCTTTGAGAGAGAAAATGTGCAACAGTCCGGCCCTTTTGCTTTAAGGTGCCATAGTGAGTTTTTTTGATACTCGCAAACCCAGGTGTGCCTGTGTGGCTGGCTACCATCTCCAAAATAGGGCACCTCTCAGGGAGGATAAGGAGAAGAGTACCATCTTCCCATCTCCCGTTTCAGTGTTTTGGGGGACATTCAGTTGCAGCTGGTTCTAGTTACCGATGCTGCTTAACAAATCATCCTCCCAAAGCAGGCGTTGCATTATGATCATGGGTTCCGGGGGTCA